AACAACAGCAGAGCAGCAATGATGACGAAGAGCTGGCATTTACTGAGCAATCCTGTGCTACGTAATCTGAGGCATTATCTCACTTAATCATCATTACAACTTTGCCAGATAATGTAGTTTCTAAAAGTGTCTGTCACATAATTATTCCTCAATAAATACTCTAAAATAGTTCTTCCTCCTGGTGTTCAAGATTCTCTGTGGCCTGACACTTCATTTCCCATCACTGCCAGCCTCTCATTACCCCCAACAGGACCTTAACCCCTGAAAAAGACTCTAGCCATCAAGCCTCTCTGTCTACCAGAATTCTTCTCAATGATCAAGCTACTGTCCATATTTTCCCTTCTTCAAGATCCTCATTACATTTTCTTCTGCCTATTCCTCTAGTTCACATTATAATTTTGACTTAGTTAGTTTAAAAGATTCTAGGAGCAGGTTTGTATGTTGAATTTATTTTTCAGTCATCCTCCATGTCCAGGATATTGCTGTGTATGGAATGTGAACTTAATGTGTTGAAATAATGAAAGGATGAAGACAGGGGAGGGAACATGAATATAACTGGAGAGAGAAGAGAGGCTGTGTATATGTCAACATGGGAAACAATTGCAGGTAAGAGCTAAAAATAACATAGACCAATAAAACTGAAAATGTGTTTGTGTTTAAAGATGTATGATGCTTACCCATGAAGATTATGGATTCATCATACTGTCTTAAAGCTAAAATGGAGCTTCTGATTTATGAATCATCATTTAAATTTTTATAAAAACCCACTTGGGCAATGAACCTCAACAGCAAGGCATGCTAATTGAAGAATGATTTCTTCTACCTCGTGCTGTCTGAGCACAGCAAGCACATGGAAAGGATAAGAAGCCCTGGGACCACTGCGGCACAAGGTCAACATTCCTCCTTCTTGTACTTCATTTCTTGTGTGTCAAGTGTCACACTCTGCCAGCAACTGAGCTTGGTGACATTAGTACGTGATAGCTCAGCAGTTAACTTTGTTTCCCTCACCATCACACAAATGTGTACGGCTGCCAATTTAGAAGCCACCCCTTAATTCTCTAAAGAGAACTACAGTAGGCAGATCTTGAGCTAAAGTGTTATGGAGAGCATTTTTAACTCCCGGAGACAGCCTCTGCCATGTCCAGTGATGACCAATTCACAGCAAGCACTCTCCATTCCATAGTTGACTGCTCTTTCTGGACTGCTCCATGCATCTTTCCTTGCACACTGTACTGTTGTTTCCAGGTTTATAACATTGTCAAGTTTAGTGAGGACAGCCCACGGACCAAGCTCTTTTAGTGCCATATGCTCCAGTGGTGTGTACGCTAAAAAGTGCAACCACTTGCTGCCAGCCCACCTCCAGCTTCTCTACATAAACCCGAACTTCTCGCCCAGATGGCACCATTTTACTGGAAATACTTGTGAATTTTTTTAAAGCCGTGTGGATGAAATGGAAAATAATTCCATATCCTACCATAGTAAGACAACTTACTTTCTTTTCCCATCAGTGGACATACAATGATAGGAAAGAGTAACTATTTCATTTTGGTTAAATACAAGCAATACACAATAGCTCAACCAGCCTGTCTTGGAGGGTGAGGGTCTTGCTTTATAATCATGTATTCCTAGAATCCAATCCAGTGTAGTACAGGAAAGACTCAATATATGTTCAACTCATAGTTTATTTATTACTTTTAATTACACCTGCTTAGTTCTCCTTTTCAGTGTTGTAGGCTTATAAGTGTGTGTCTTCCAGAACTCTGTGAGAAGGGCCTTGTTCTGCTGTCCTTTCCACCTCCTCCCACTGAGCTCCTGCCTCTGCTAACACTAGACAAATTACTTAAATTACTCAGGTCTAACTTTCTTCAACTGTATTAGGGAAAAGACATAAATCTGCAGGGTAAACTCGAAGGGCAGTTATTGTGAGCTCAAATAAGATACATAGAAGTCAAATTGAGCTTTGTAAATTATACAGTGCTGGGGAGGCATAAGAATGCAGGAACTGGGATCAAACTTGGGTTTGAATTCCTGCCATACCCTTTATAACTGTATTACTTTGACAAACTTACAAAATTCCTATAAATTTTTGGTGACCTCCTTTATAGAATAGGTACTAATATCATACAGAATTGCTTTGAAGACTAAATGGGATAAAGCATGTGGAATGTACAGCAGAGTGCCTGACACAGGGCGTGTTTTGAAATAAATAATTATTGTTATTGTCTTTAATATGAACCTTCTCAAAATAGGGAGATGATGCCATGACATTGGGATGTTGGTAGATCGAGGGGTTTCTGTAGTAGGAGAGGGCAGGCTCCATTCTAGGTCCCTGGTAAATGTTACCAGCCTTTGGGGATGGTAACAGCTGTAGCTCCCACATGAGTGATGGGGACAGAGCTTGTTTCTCTGGGAGCAGGGACTTTTGCTACAATTAGTGCAATTTGTAGACATTTTTGTTGTGGGCGGTCATCTCTCTTATTCTAATATCTGATGACAGGATTTTAATTATAAGTGTTTAAGCAATTTCTTACATCCATTTGTTACAAATATTTTTTATAAGCTAAGAGCAGGCTACCACGCAACATTTTATGATTACTTAAAGATGCATGTTATGTTATATTGTAATTCATGTATCATTCCATTCATATTCTTGCAGTGTGTTAGGTCTCAGCTTCATTTTTTACTCTTTACTGTTTGGAGGGAGAAAGTTGAAAGAGTATATTCAAGCTAAGTCAGGTAAATGCATCCCTGGGCATTAGCTAGAAACTATGTTCTTCTCTACTTCCTGTGCTAATTTGTGACCTCCACCCACAGTGATAGGTAAGAGTAATTACTATTTCGTTTTGATTAAATATAAACAATACACAGTAGCTCAACCAGCCTGTCTTTGAGAGTGAGGATCTTGCTTTATAAGAGAGGAAAGAGGAGTTAGGGAACATGAGATAAATGAGATGTAGTCTCTAGATCATGTGAATTTTATTAATTATCTCAGGAACTTTATGAGATTGGTATTCCCCATTTTATAGTTGGAAAACTGAAGATCAGAGTTTTTAGTGACCTCTCCAAAGTTTATCAATTGGAAGGAAAAATGACTAGAACTCAGGTCTACCTAACTGTGTAAGGCAGAGAAAATTAATCTGACCTCATAAAGTGGAGAATATGAGGGTCACAAAATGTGAGAAGTCAAAGAAGTCTAAAATCTTTGCTAGTATTAAGGATTTGGAGGGAAAAAGTTGAAAGAGTAAGAGATCAGTTTGTAAAATGCATTTTTCAAACATAAACCCATATTTTTAAGAAGACAATATGTAACATAGCATTTCAGGCTTGCTCAATGGAAACATATAGCTCTATCTCAGTAAGTGTACTCGCTTAGTATCTATGCCTCTATAAAGACTATGCTCTGTGCATTGGCTTTACACATTTAATCACTTTCTAAAGCTCATGGACCATTTACTATTTGACTGAAAACTGTAAAGGAAAAACATATTTTTAAATAAACCCCTCACTCTCTAAATTAAAACATTGTTTAGTTAATACAGCATTGAAATGGAAACCAAAGGGTATTGACTCTAGTACCAGTCCTTACAATGCCTTCATCCAAGCACAACAAATCTGTTTCCTAATAAGAAGAGAGGAGAAAAAGGACCATTGGGGGTGGGATGGGGGACAAGGGCAGTGCGAAACTAAGAGTGACGTGTGTCAGAGATTTTGAGTCAGGCCATCCACTGCCTTTATCTCATGTACTGCCAGTTCAGTTTTACTATCCTCATTTAACAGGAACTGAAACTCGGGAAAATTTCATACTGAGTTTAGCCTCAGGACTTCACATTAGACCACACTTTCCAAAGGGAGCTAAGACTGTTCCATCATTTCATGTTAAAGAAGTTGCTCATGTGGAAATCTTTGTCTTGAATCAACACCAACACAGTGATCAATGAGTACCATTGATATTGATTTTATAGCCAATGCAGAAGTGGTTTTCCATAAGGAAGCTCCTTTTAAATGACTTTAATAAAAGTCGTGGCCATAATATTGAAGAAATCTAGCTCCTCGAAGGTACACGGGGCAGGGATGAATTAATTGTGATAAGGTCTACAAATCTGAGATGTGTAGAAAATAATATATTATGGATTTCCCCAACATATATTAGCATTTGGTCTCTGATCTAATTTGGAACATTTTATGTGCTACAGATCCCTGAGGAAGCATTCTCTAAGTAAAAAAAATCCTCTTAATTCAGTTTTAGTTGAAAATGGAGTTGTTCTAAACTATGATGATGGACAGAAATTTAACTTTGGGTGATGAACGCATAATGCAATATACATATGATGTATATTTTAATTGTACACTTGAAACATATAATTTTATTAACCAAAGTCACCCCAATAAATTAATTTTAAAAAACTTCATGTTATAATGGAAAGAATAATTTGGGCTCGAAGGCAATCTTTCTGACCTACTTTGAAAATTACTCTCTCCTCAGTTGGAAGATAAAACAAATTATGTGCTTTAAAACTCTCTCAAGATGAGAGGAGAGAAAACCAGAATTCTTTCTCGCTTACTGTACCAGATTACATTTAATGCTATGACAGGTATAAGGGAAGAACTTGGCCAGCTCTACTTATATAGAGCATTTAAAATGAAAAACTTAGTTTTGTTTTAGCCACTGAAACTGAAAAGACCTGTATTATATGCAAATCTGTTGAAAAGATCTATACTATGTATATTTATTTATCTACTTATGTGGTTTTCTTTATCTTTTAATTTTTTAATTTAAATATATTTCTATGCAAAGCTAAATAAAGTCAGAGGTTTTTCCTTATTTTTTATAGAACCCCTAATGTCTAGAACAGATCTTTTACATATTATACACTCAATAAACATGTAAAGAATAAGTGAATGAAAAACAAATTCAATAACCCAAAGACTGTTGCAAACACAATCACCTCATGGATTTGACATGAAGATGGAGGGAAATGATCTTGGTTCTTGTCTTTTAGATACACTAAGATGAAGACAGCGACCAACATTTATATATTTAACCTGGCTTTAGCAGATGCTTTAGTTACTACTACCATGCCCTTCCAGAGCACGGTCTACCTGATGAATTCCTGGCCATTTGGGGATATACTGTGCAAGATAGTCATTTCCATTGACTACTACAACATGTTTACCAGCATATTCACCTTGACCATGATGAGTGTGGATCGATACATTGCTGTGTGCCACCCTGTCAAGGCATTGGACTTTCGCACGCCCTTGAAAGCAAAGATCATTAATATCTGTATTTGGCTTCTGTCTTCATCTGTTGGCATATCCGCTATAGTCCTTGGAGGAACTAAAGTCAGGGAAGGTAAGAGCAGTCATTTTCATTTCGTTTTTTAAAACTTAATTTCTAATTAAATAAGCTCTTGATTTGGTAGGATACACATCTAGAGGAAAGGCTAAAAGACAATGGAAATATAATGCCTAAATCCATGTAAGATGAGAAATAAAACAATTTTGTGTTTCCACATCTATACACAAGATAAGATAATGACATAAACTGAACACAGAGGCTCAACCTATCTCCTACTCTGGAAGTCCTTACCGGAATCTGAGGGGTGGGCATGAAGTAAGGAATCACAAGCATGTGGATTTTTGAAACATGATTCCATTGTCTTCTGGCAATTCTGATACACCTTTTTTTCTCCCTAAAAAGAATCCTGAATCATTAGAGATGTATTGCTCTTTATCCTCTTCTCCTTGGGGGTTATTCTCCACGTCATCATCATAACAGCTACATTTGACTGTAGGCCATTCGAAATCAAGTTCATAGATGGATGGTTATACAGATGACCAGAACCATTAGATTTTGGATATATTAGTTCTTACCCCATGCCAACAGGATACTTGATGTTTTCCCTGTATTTCCCTGTAGGACAGTGGTTCTCACCCTGGACTTCACATTGGAGTCATCTGGGTACTTTAGAAAATATTGCTGCCTGTGTCACAGCCTGGAGAGTCTAGTTTAGTTGACTTGAGGCACAGTCTGGGTGTCAAGATTTTTAAAATCTCCCCAGTCTGACAGTGACCTGTAGTCAAGGTGAGAACTACTGTTCTAAGAATTTTGCTTTACTAGTAAAAGGTTAAGGTGTAAATATATCTTTGGTCTTAATAGAAACTTATGGGAGGAGGGAAGTAGAACAATTATTTTGGACTTTATAAATGTTATTTATTGCCTTAGCAGTTGTCTAAATGCTCCAGTTTGTTAGAGAGGTTCATGAAAGCGGTGGGTACAGATAATTGAATATGTTTAGCAGGGACT